GCTGGAGTGGAATTTCGCCCTGAGAAGAGCAGGGAAAGGAGGGGAAAGGACGGGAAAGGCCCAAGGGTGAGGCCCAGGGTTTAGTGATTTTCAGGGGGTCCCCTTTAGACCCTCACTAGAGGTGCAGGGGCCAGCTCCTCCACTCCCTTTACTCCTTCTCTCACTCCCAATCAATGCTTTACTCTTCTCCTTTCCACTCTCCTTTTCTCTTCCAAAACCCCGACACCTGTTCTCCTTCGTTTCTTAAAAGATTTAAGATTCATTTAACCACTCAACACCCGGTTGGCATAACTCCATTTATTAGTAAGGGGATTTGGGAAGTGCTTGTGGCTTAAAGAGATCAATACTCTAAGTCTAGCGTTAGACAAGGCCTAGTCTAGCCTAGCCTAGCTTAAGCCTAGCCTAGCCTAGCTTAAGCCTAACCTAGCCTAGCCTAACTTAAGCCTAGCCTAGCCTAGCCTAGCTTAAGCCTAGCCTAGCCTAGCCTAAGTCTAAGTCTGACTAGTCTGACTAGCGCCAACTTTAGACCTTCTAAAAACCTTTAGAAGAGTTGAATTAAAAGCTTCCAATGTGTTCAAAAGCATTCAAAAGCCGGCCAAAATCCTTTAAAGCCAACCAAAAGCCTTCAAAAGCCAGCAGAAAGCCTTCAAAAGTCTTCAAAACCCAGCCAAAAGCCTTCAAAACCCAACCAAAACCCAAACACAACTCATTTGTATTGATGAGTCAAAAGCAGTCAAGTATTAGAAAAGAGAGGATGAGTAATCGCTTTGAGCCAAACGATTCGAAATAAAGAAAAGAGAAGTTGGGGAAAACCCTTTGAAAGCTTTGAAAGCCTTTCATAACTTTCAAACACCGATTTCCCCTTCAGACTTTTCCACATAATCCCTCGGCATTAGTTTTTGGAGTCTCCGGGAAATGAATACGAAGTTGTGCCTGAAATTTCTCTTTTAAAGATTGAAACTTTAAAGAAAAACGTTTCGAGAAGCTTTAAAACAAAGAATTTTACTAGGAAAAAAGGAAACACATGTGAAAAGTAATAATGGATTCAGATTCTCTATCCCAGAATGCTTTTCGTTACAAAGTTTTAGATCTACAGCTACAGCTAACGGCTACAGCTACAGCTAACAGCTACAGCTACAGCTACAGCTACAGCTAACAGCTACAGCTAGCAGCTACAGCTACAGCTAACAGCTACAGCTACAGCTCCAGCTAACGGCTACAGCTACAGCTAACAGCTAACAGCTAACAGCTACAGCTAACAGCTACAGCTACAGCTACAGCTAACAGCTACAGCTACAGCTAACGGCTAACAGCTACAGCTACAGCTAACGGCTATCAGATCCAAAATGGCAACCAAATCAAAAATGACTTTGTCTGTGCTTAGCTAGAGCTTATTGGGAAATGGTAAAGCAAGTTTTTAACTGCATACAATAGTAATGAACCAATCCTGTTCTGATTCTGGACCAGAAACTACAAGCCAGACAGACTGAAATCGGTCACCTGGTCCTGGCTTGACTTGGTTTTAGCTGTGAGATGACCCTGAGCCTGGCTGCCACATTTCTTCACGTCCTGCCAGTCCTGGTTTGGCTCTAACTCAAAACAAAGCTATCCAATCGAAATGAACCAGGGCAAGACCCCGTTTCTGAGTTGAGCGGTCTGCCTTGATCTGACCGGCCCGTATGCTTTGTTTCCGGAGAATTCCCGGAGAAACTCGTTGACAGAGTATGTGCATAGTATTCCCGCGGAGTCCAGAAATCTTTCGACAAACCTTTCTAGCAGAATTTTTCGATTGTGGAACATTTGCCACTTCGCATTGGCAATCCAACTTTAAACTCAAATTTCTTGGCTTTTGGCTGTTCAATTGAAATAGTTTTTATACCAATCGATAGAGAAAGACATGATGAATTCAATGATTTCAAAAGTGTTTAAATTCATCAATCCAAAGCCAAGATATTTGAGCTCAAAGTTGAGTCAATGGAAATGGGGTAATGGCAAAAAGTCAGATTGCGATTGGGGAATCTATTTTTCAACTCAAATATCTTTCGTTGGGCTGTCCAATTTATAAATCCTTAGTATCATTAGATTCGCCAAGTCTTTCTCTATCGATTGGTATAAAAAGTATTTGAATTGAACAATCCAAAGCCAAGATATTTGAGCTCAAAGTTGGATTTCCAATGGCAAAGCCTGAATCGGGCTTTTTTTGATCTAATTTGGCCTAGAACTGGCTTATTTTCTTAGAATTTCATGATTTTTGGAATACCTATGGTTTCTTTTGGACTACTTCCTATCAAGTTTGCTCTAGTCAAGAATTCATGTTGAATTAGGTTCGGTAGATAGATTCGGTAAAGCTAAAGATTCGGTAGATAGATTTTTCTGTAAGGATTTTTCTGTAAGAAGATCTGTAAGGCTAGTAAAAGTCTTTTCAATCATTAAGTACGAAAATCTAAATTCCTATCCATTCACCAATAATATTCTGGTTAATTTCCCAAAAAGTGTCACCGGAATTCATTGGCAGTACTCTCTTCTTTCTTTCTTTACTTCTTTCTTTCTTTCCTTACTTCTTTCTTTCTTTACTTCTTTCTTTCTTTCTTTACTTCTTTCTTTCTTTACTTCTTTCTTTTCGGGGGGGACAAGAGAGCACGGGAAAACGAAGAGAACTCAATTAGTCATTGTCTGCTTCAAATGAAACATGCCTCATTTCACAAAGCAAACACAAAGATTGGATGGGGAAAGTGAAAAGAAAAGATGGGAAATCTCATAGAGATCTCATACTCATAGATCTCATAGAGATCTCTTTAAATGAACAGCTGACTCTAAAGGGATTTGAAGGTGTCAAGTAGAGGAAGGAATTTTGAGAGAAAAGAACTGTTACACAACAGAGAACTGTTACTTCTTCAGAGATCGAATTTCTCTTTTTTTAAAAGCAAACTCAAGTATTTCAGAAGGAACTTTATTCAATGATCGAACAGTTTCAATGATCGAACAATCGAGAAATTCTTTGTAAATCAATTTCCAAGTGCTGTTCATTGCTGGGTCTGCTGGGATTAACAACTTGATGCTGATTAACTTGATGCTCATTAACAACTTGATGCTCATTAACAACTTGATGCTCATTAACAACTTGATGCTCATTAACAACTTGATGCTCATTAACAACTTGATGCTCATTAACAACTGCTTCAACGCATTTCTCAAGCTTCTTTCTTCATGATCTCTAAACCAACAAAACTACGAAACTCTCAGCTAAACAAAAGCAAAGATCGCTAAGAAAAATGTAAGGAAATTGAATGAGAAAACTCTGATGAAAGACAAAAGATAGGGAAGAACGGAAGAACAATAATCTTTGCGAACTCTTTTAAACAAAAGCTTGAGAGGAGATGGAGAAAGGGGACAAAAGATCGAAAAAAAGGAATTCAAGAAAAGGGGGAGCTCGATGAAAAGTGAATTCAGCTTCAGTGATTCAGTGAATCCACTGTCTTCTCCGTAATTCTTGAAATTCTTGAAATTTTCGCAACTTTGGTCAGTCTGATTGGATTGTTTTGGGGGGAAAAGATGAGGAAAAATGGAAAACAAAGAGAAATTTGGTGGTGGAGAAAGGTTTTTGTCGCTTCCAGGTTATTTTAGGTGCTAGCAAGCTCAGTTTTAAGGCAAAACACGCCGTTTGGTGTAGTGGATAGTGCGCTCGTTTATTGCGCTTCCCCTTTCTCGCGCTGTCCCTGATTCGAGTCCCCTCAGCGTCAAAATTTTTTTTTTGTGGCACTAAAACCAATATTGAAGTTTGGTATAGGGCTAATGTACTTCCCCTTAGTCGTGGCCGATTGGTGTAGTGAATAGTGTGTTGGCCTAGCTCGCGCTGTCGCTGGTTCGAATCCTCTGAGTGCAAGAGCTTTTTCTATTTGTTAAAGCACTAAAATTAAAATGTTTTTAGATATTTTTAGATGTTTTAAAGTCTCTAGTGTGCTTAATAAAGAGTAAAAAGCTAAATAGGGCTTTTGGCTGTTCAGTGACCACAAAAGAATCTTCCGTTTTCACAAGCACAACCTTGTTTTTAACAAGAAAAAAGAACTAGAAAAAAGAACGAGAAGCAACAAAAAAAAAGGCAAAGAAAAGAACCATAAATCTGAATTAATTTAAAGAAATATTTAAATCTGCGTTTTGCATTGCGAGAGTGGCGCATGGTGGAAGATAAATGGATGGCTGAGGCTGGAGAGAAATATGTGGGTGTTCCTCTTTCCCTATCCTTTCCAATCCATTCTTTTGCCCAATATTTCTTTCCATATATCTTCAGCTTTCTCTAGAAGAAAGAAGAACACAAAAAGGAAGGAAGAAAAACAAAAACAGAAATCTTTTAGCTGTTCTCGCTTGAACTTTCAACTTTTCAAGCAATTCAAGAGTTCAGCTAGGTTTTTTAATATGCTGCAATATGTCTGCAATAGAATTGCTAGAATTTTCTTACCTACATAGCCTTTTTAGCCTTGTATAGACTATAGAAAGACTGATCTATTTACTGTAGATCTATAGGTTTCAAAGAAACGATAAACTTATCGTTTTATCGACCGTATCAGCCGAAAACTCGGTTAAAAGCCGGTTTTTCTGGCAGGAAGCCGTGGTTGCTGTGGCGCAGTAGGGAGGGTGTTTGTCTACAAGTCTTGTCCAAGACGCACACGGCCCGGGCTGTGTCGTGACTTTTGATTTTTAAAAAAAAGGAAATATGAGATGCATAACTACATAGAATTCTAAGCCTAACAAACAAAAAATGATGCAAATCGGATCACAGAGAACAGACAGACGGACGCACGGACGGACGCACGGACGGACGAACAGACGGACGAACAGACAGACGAACAGACAGACGAACAGACAGACGAACAGACAGACGAACAGACAGACAGACAGCTTTGCATTACTCTTTCTACTCTTTATTGTAATGTGTTTTTAGTAATGTAAGACATGATCTACAGTATCTTTATTAAGCTTTTCTACAAAGTTCTGAATTTTTAGCTTCTGTGCCTTTTCGCGGCTCTGTTTCGGTGATGACGTGGCTGACGGTGGAATGTTTTCTTCTCGTTCACCTTTTTCACTTCTGGTTCTACTTTGCGGACAACGCGAGCACTGTAGGGACAAGAGCAATACTCGCCATCTTTGCCAGCGACTAAAATCCGGAATCTTCATTTAATCTAATTGGGTACTTAGATTTATGCTTAGCAATACTTTTATACCTCTTTACCAGTAGTTTAAGGGTACTATAGAAAGTTTAGAGTACTGTAGATAATCTAAAGGTACTCTGTAGGCTTTAAGGGTACAGTAGAAGGCTTAGGATCACTTTAGAAAGCTTAGGCTTACTGTAGAAAGCTTAGGATCACTTTAGGAGGCTTAGGCTTACTGTAGAAAGCTTAGGATCACTTTAGAAAGCTTAGGATTACTCTAGAAAGCTTAGGCTTACTGTAGAAAGCTTAGGATCACTGTAGAAAGCTTAGGATTACTTTAGAAAGCTTAGGCTTACTGTAGAAAGCTTAGGATTACTGTAGGAGGCTTAGGATTACTGTAGGAAGCTTAGGTCTACTGTAGAAAGCTTAGACTTTCCAACCTCCAGCTTCTCCGGGTCTTCCCGGTGTTCCATCATCTCCACGATTTCCCGGCAATCCCTGTTCTCCGGGTTGTCCCTCTTGCCCTGGAGTGCCATCAGTACCATTGTCACCGTCCTGAAATCACGCTACAATAGTGATCAAATGTTAAGATTACTGTAGAAGGTTACTGTAGAAGGTTACTGTAGAAGGTTACTGTAGAAGGTTACTGTAGAAGGTTACTGTAGAGAGTTTAGGATTACTGTACCTTTCCAGGCTCTCCATGCTCTCCTTGTTCTCCAGCTCTGCCAGGTCTTCCAGGCAATCCAGCCTCTCCACCCAATGCATCATTTCCTGGCAATCCTGGATGTCCATCTCTTCCATCGTATCCACTTCTTCCTTGCTCTCCAATATCTCCTTGTGGCCCTGGGGGTCCATCCTCTCCAACCGGTCCTCGTTTGCCGGGTTGACCCTCTTTTCCTGGAGGTCCATCCTGGAATTGATTCGAATTTGTTGTATTATTGTATTTCTGTATCCAGTAGTACTTGCTATGGCTAGTTCGGTGGTTTAGAAACACTACCAGTTACCGCCTTTACAGTGTTAAAGATTGATGAAACAGTAGCAGGATGGGTTACGGTAAGGAGCTGGCTTTGGTAGCTGGCTTTGGTAGCTGGCTTTGGTAGCTGGCTTTGGTAGCTGGCTTACGGTAGCTGGCTTACGGTAGCTGGCTTACGGTAGCTGGCTTACGGTAGCTGGCTTACGGTAGCTGGCTTACGGTAGCTGGCTTACGGTAGCTGGCTTACGGTAGCTGGCTTACGGTAGCTGGCTTACGGTAGCTGGCTTTGATAGTAGGCTTACGGTAGCAGGCTTACGGTAGCAGGCTTACGGTGGCAGGCTTACGGTGGCAGGCTTAACATTTCCAGAACTTACACATCCAGTAGCTCCAGGAGGCCCCGCGGGTCCAGCCGGACACTCCAAGCATTTATGCACATCGATCTCTTTGATATTTGGTGGTGTGATTCCTTGTGCCCCATCAGGTCCAGGATTTCCATCGGGTCCATCATCTCCCCAATTTCCGGCTGTCCCCGGTGGGCCGGGCGGGCCGGCTGGACATTGACGCTTCTGCGGGCCACAATCTATTTGTGATTCAGTCTAATCTATTTTTAGAACACTTACGACATTGTTGATTGGCTTGTCTCTTGTTTCGGCCGAACATAGTTCCGAATGGAGCCTCGGTGGAGCCGTGTGGGACGTTTAGATTGTAGATTTTTGTCCAAGCATCGTCGGAAACTGTCTGAAATCGAGTACTTTACTGTTTTCAGCTCAAGTATGAGATTTAGAATCTCGTCAAGAGAGATGGGCATTATAAGCTAGTTTACTAGCGAACTAGCTAGGGCAGTTTTGTGTACTTTGTGCTTAAACTCTTCAGCGCAAGTACACGTCGTCTGGCACACTCAGATAGATGTAGTTTAGCACTAAGTTCTAGCAAAAGCAGATCTTGCAGAGCCAGATTTATCGTATTTCCAGCCATAGTCTGTCTGTCTGTCTGTAGCCACTACTCCTACACGCCGCTCAAAAGCGCCGACACGGGCGGGAGTCGAACCCCGGACGTGTGGGCTAGAGAAAAGTGCGCTTGCGCCATCTACAAAGAGCATGGTCGAGTGGTTAACGCGCGCGTCTCTCAAACGTAAGAGAGAGGTCGCGGGTTCGCCTCCTCTTGCCCCCAATTCTTTGCTCCAAAAATCTTTTTGCTGGCGAACAACAAAGCTTCTGGTCTTCAACAACTCGAAAAGTCAATCGACAACACATTTAAACAGCATTTAAAAATCAAATTCGTGATCAGCGTCATCGATTACCCCCAGAAAACGGAGGAAAATCAACAATTTCTTTTTTCATACCTAAGCGCTCATAGCTTAAACTAGTGTCGAGAAAACCACATTGAAAGCTAGACTACGCAAGGCTCCGCACCAGGAATGCGGTACTATTATAGTATTTACAATAGGTACTCTAACTCTAACTCTAACTCTAACTCTAGCTCTAACTCTAACTCTAACTCTAGCTCTAGCTCTAACTCTAACTCTAACTCTAACTCTAGCTCTAACTCTAACTCTAACTCTAACTCTAGCTCTAGCTCTAGTACTCGTCTCTTTAGCATTCAATAGCTTTAGATAAAGAAACGAGCCAAACGAGGCAAACGAGGCAAACGAGCCAAACCATCCAAACCATCCAAACCTTGAACTCATAAACGCCCTTCTGAATCTCCTCCTGTAGTCCATTGATATCCTTGACAATAGCCGCAAATGAAAGCAATGAAATAGCAGTGATCACCACCGCTCCAATCGACGCCGATGCCACCAAAATCTTCGACATTCTAATGGAAATGCCCTACAATACGCAGAGACTTTCACCTTTTATGTAATACTCGTTTTTTGCAAATCGAACTGAAACTCTTTGTCGTGAGAAGCCGAGAGAAGTCATCTAGTTTTTTTTTAATTATGCAAAAACGATGAATAGTTGGGTGAAACTTGCTCATTAATGTTAGATTATGTGTTCGCTTTGAGAACAACGAACTTTTTCCTTTGGGGTGACGCTTGTGGAACGAGAGTGAATCTGATTCTCTTTGAGAGAAAAAAAGTGACGTAATGGAAGAGCTGGTTTTCTTGGAAATGACGAAAAAAAAAGTGCAGAGAAGAAAGCAGTGAAGTGAAAGAATGTCAAATAGAAAACAATGCTTTTAGACAAAGGTGAAAGATTTTAGATTTCTGAAAGGTGAAATTTAAAAAGAATTTTATTGTAGTCTTTTCCCAGCGTTTTTAGATCAAAGTTTACAAGTTCATGCGTTTTTTTACAAAGGAATGTCAACAGTGATGCCAAATGAAATGAGCTATAAGACCATTCGACGCAGAATTTCACGCTGATTCCGAATCTGCTTTTCGTTTTTGATATGGAGCACTCTGTCAAAAGTTATAAGCGCTCAAAGTTTTGTAGGGAATCACAGTTTGTATGGAATCACAGAAAACAGGCCATGATTTACTAGAGAGGAAAAGATATAAGTTGGCAGGGGAAAAGATGTCGTAGTGGCTGAGTAGCAGTGGGCTTGAATACAAAGCAGCGACCCTATCCGGGGCTTGAATACAAAGCAAGGACCCTGTTCGGGGCTTGAATACAAAGCAAGGACTTAGTCAGGACCCGAGTCGGAGCTCGAGACCGGCGTCTGCTTTTTCTTTTGCTTCTTTTTAACTTTAAGTGTTTTGGCGATGTTTGATGGTGATCATTGGCTGTGCCAGAGCAACGGTTTGCCAGATGTACGATCGTGCGCCCACATAGAGAACACTCAAACCATATAAAGGGAAAAAACATATAAATAGAAAACATACAAAACATTCAAAGCTTAAGGATCAAAAAACGAAAGTCAAACCCTGGACTTGAACCCTAGGGCACTGGCCTCATATCCTAGCCCATTACCACTCGGCCACCACGACATGTTTTCTCCTCTCTCAAGTCAACTTATAAACATTGCGGTCTGTTTTCTGCGATTCCATTATGGTGAGTTTTTTTCTTTCATTCCATACAATTTCCATACTCTGAGCGCTTATAACTTTTGACAGAGTGTTGCGTTGCAAAAACGGAAAGTTGATTCGGAATGAGCGCAAAATTCTTAGTCGGTTAGTATCTACCATATCCAATTTGGCCATCACACCCTTGTTAGTTAAATTTTTGAACGCGAGATTTCTGAATTTTTAGCTCATTTTAAATATTAGGTTGATGCATAAGTGTTTTTGTTCCTTTTCGTCTGCCGTTTCAAGCCAACAAATGCACCAATTAAACTACGGTTGATTTCATTAGAAAAAGCAATTATTTTTCTGCAAAATAACATTAAAACGGGTTTAAAAATATTTAATGCCTGGATTTTCTTGAGAGTATGAAGTCGGGTAGTCAAAAAGGGCTAACTCGATGATGCGGTTTAGACACCTTAGCTAAAGAAAACCTATCTTCGTGTCAATAGATAAAAGATAGAGAAAAAAAAAGTTTGATATTTCGCCAAAATTTCAGAGAAATTCATTCAGCCAATTTTTCCGTAGAGTTTTTTATAGATTTTTACGAAAAAGGCGTTTTTCACTCTCGAATTTGCTTGAAAGTGAACCGAAATTCATTTAAAAAGATGCAAATTGAACAAAAAAACACTTTTTTTTATAGAGCAAACTATAGATTAATTGGTGAATTTCTTACTTTTTAACAGAAGTACGAAAAAAACGAAAACACTTATGCATCAACCTATTAAATTTAGTACAAAATTGAAAGAAATGATGCTTGAAAAGATGTAAAAAAAGAAAACAGTTGATCAGCTTTGAAAAGTGTAAAAGCCTTTTGTGAAAAAGTGTAAACTAGAAAGTAACTGAGTCATTGAATGCCTAAAATGTAAAAGCTTCAAGATCTATCGTAAACTTTTCCATGTTTTAGTTGAATTTTTGAATTTTTACGTGCTGTTAATTCACATTTTGAATTGGATCTTGCTGGATCGAAATTTGGTGTAAAATCGAAAGCACTAATCGACCTAAAAACCCTTGACAACCATTTTTCTGTTGTAATTTCTATTTTGCGCAAAATTTTAACAAGAATCCAAACACAACGGCAATTTCTGTGAGCACTAAACTCTGCCCCGATCACCGTACCCGAGCGCGCTGACGAAATCGAACCGTCCAAAAAGATTCGAATGTTTGTGTGCGAAAACGAGCGAAAAGCGAGCGTTTTTTTTTGCCTTGTTTTTAAAGTTTCTTGTTTAAAATATCGTTTTAAAATATCGAAAAACAAAATTCCATTTTTAATTTTAGATATGCGACGCCCGACCACACGTTCGAGGTCGCATGACACAGATTCGATGGACGGTGATCCGGAGATCGGAGAGTCGTACGTGGTGACGAGGATCACGAATGGAGTGCCGGAGAAAACGATTGCCATCGTTGTTGCAACAAAACAAGTCACCGATGATCAACTGCGGCAGATACGAGCCGAAAAGGAGAAACTGCAAACAAACACGCCAATTGAGGTTCGTTTATTTGATTTGGTTAAAAATAGAAAAAGATCAGTGTGTTGATTAAAATAACTTGCTACATAGGCAGGTAGGTTTTCATATTACCGTATTCTCTCTAATAGTATTGCACTCTTTAATAGTAGTGCACTCTCTAATAGTATTGCGGTCCGAGACAGGGTCGAAAAAATAGTAGTGCACCCACGAAAATTTGAATTTCTGGTGCTTCTTTTTCATCTAAACCTTTTTGACTTTATGTTTATGTGACATTCTAAAGCTATTCAAGCAAGAAAAAGTGAGGCTTTTTTTATTCATTTATTAACTATTCTTCACATGAAAAAGTTAGCAAAAAAACTAAAATTGTTGTGCAAAGGGCAAAAAAACATCTTTTTGTTGTTTGTCAAGACACAAATTGTCAACTCGCCGGCCCACAACTGTATGTCAAAGGAACCAAAGGAGTACGTGAAAGAATTGCAAGAATTTTTGCAACAAATCTTATATCTGTCTTACTTTGGTAAATGATAAAACTCTTTAATAGTAGTGCACTCTCCAATAGTATTGCGGTCCAGGAGGGGGTTGAAAAAATAGTAGTGCGCACTACTATTAGAGAGAATACGGTATTCGACGACTGGTTATTTTGTTACAGTTGACGTGGTTAAAATTAGACAAAGGGCTTTGATCGATTAAAATAATGGTTAGTACTAATAAACTTGGGAGGGGGGGGCACTTTTTTTTCTAGGGTAATTGATGGCGCTGATCACGAAAAGAACATTTTTGAGTTATGTTTTCAATTTAAAAAAAACATGTATTTGAGTAACATTTTTTGTTTTGAAAAAACTCTGCGTCTCCATGAACTCTACATGATATAGGCGCCCATATTTTCCTAGGCTTTGGCTCTACACGGTAGAGCCACGTAGCTCCCAGGCTAGCCTGATTCTTCTACGGCTGAGGTGAGTTTCGTACCGGGGATGCTTTGATCCTGCATTTATGGAGGCTACGTGCTTCTGGTACGAAATTCACCACAGCCTTAGGAGAATCAGGCTAGCCTGGATACCACGTGGTTCTAAGGTGCGGAGCCAAAGCCTAGGAGAATGGAGGCGCCTAACTAATACTCAACCCAACGGCCCTCTTAAGGGCAACAAACTACCCAATTTGACGGCAATACATACGTTTTTTTAATTGAAAACATAACTATAAGTATAAAGATAGATCTTGTCCATTAAAAAAGATTTAACAAACTTGGAGCTGTTTTATTTTGAAGCCTGCTAATAGGAACTAACTATCAAATCAATTAAGCCTTTTAAAATACGCTCTTCAACTAAAGCTTTAAGCATTTCTTTCTTTAATCTTTAATCTTTAATCTTTAATCTTGAAAGCTTTAAGGCCAAAAGTTTTAAGCAAAAAGCAATCATTTTCATTTTATTAACCTTTTTAAAGCACCAATAACTGGTTAAAATCACTGAAAAGTTCAGTGCCTTTATTTCAACCAATTTTATGGACAAAAGCATCTCCATGCCAGACGCTTTTATTTACGGAGCTTCTAATGGTCCTAATTTTTCGTATAACCGATCGATCCGGCTACAAATTGGGATATAAGTGTAAAAATGTTATAAAAATCAAATTATAACAAACTTCTTTAAGTAATCTGACACATTTTCGACTTAATCTGCTTTCATATAAAGCGTAATATTAGGCGACCCTTATGTTTTATGCAAAATTCAACCCTGTAAATGGGTGCATTTCGCATAAAACTTTTGTTTAAACTTTAAAAAGGTATCGATCAATAACTAAACAAAAATAATTCACAATTACCATTTTTTCTTCTTAAATTATTGTCAACTTTAGGTATCTGAGTCGGCGAAAGAAGAGCCCAACCCGACTGCCATGCACACTTTGTACTACATTCACTACGAGGGAATGGATCGACGATTGGACGAATGGGCTGAAAGGAATCGCTTCTTGGGATTCGCCTCGTCTGAGAAACCATCACCATCAATGGGCATTCAAAAAGTGACACGCAGTCAACGGAGAATCGACGAAGAGTTCAATCATTTGCCTGTCGGCTATGAGGTGATGGGTGCAACGGTGGCTAAATTGGAACGGGAATATGAGGAGAGAACTAAGGTGCGAAACATTGAGATGGTGACGCTGGGACGATGGGAGATCGACACCTGGTACTTTGCTCCATACCCGGCTCCTTTCGATCAAACCGTTCACCTATTCGTTTGCGAGTACTGTTTGATGTACTTCAATGACATAAAGCTTTACTCAAGACACGTGAAGCTGGCTTGTCGAAGGCGCACACCGCCTGGCAACGAGATCTACCGAAAAGGCAACTTGAGCGTCTTTGAAGTGAGCGGCTATCAGGATCGCCAGTATGCACAATTCTTGTGTCTACTCTCGAAATTGTTCATGGATCACAAGACGTTGTACTACGATGTGGAAACGTTTCTTTTCTATGTGCTCTGTGAAGTGGACAATGAAGGAGCGCATATTGTTGGCAATTTCTCAAAGGAGTTGGACACTGGCAATAATCTCGCCTGTATCATGATTTTGCCACCATATCAGCGAAAAGGATATGGCAAGCTGTTGATTCAATTGAGCTACGAGCTTTCATCAAGAGAAGGATGGATTGGGACACCGGAAAAGCCTTTGTCTGATCTGGGCAAAGTGAGCTATCGATCGTACTGGTGGTGGGTGATCTTGGGAACACTCGAGAATATGGAAACGGACACCGTTCGAGCGTCGATTTTGTCGGAAGAGACAGGAATCGCAAGTGCTGACATTGTGTCCACTCTGTATCCAATGCAGATGATCAAGTCGTGGAAAGGAGATCACATTGTGCGTGCTTCGAAGCGAGTTGTCGAGCATTGCCGTTCGTTAGGACTCGTAAGACCACCGTCTCTGCTCCTGGATGAGAAATGTCTTCGATGGGAACCGCGAAGACCCCGCGGACCACCACGAACACGCCCAAAGCACAAATGATATTGTTACTTAGAATTTTTCATTTGTTTGTTGTGATGCTATTACATGTTTTTTTGTTGTTATTTGTCAAAAACGTTAATATAGAAGATTATAAAATTTGGAGTGATGGCCGATTTCTTCGCAAAACGAGCAAAGCCAACGAATGTGGAGTCACGGGATGTCGAGATGGAGGGACCACCCGTGCCAAGCACCGTGCCCTGGGTTGAGAAATAGTTAGTTTTTGAATTTTTGAAGGATAAGTCAAAAGAAATATTAAAAGTGTAAAATGGAACTTGATGATTATTAAAAATTTTCTTTTAGTCGCCCGAGGAAAGTCGACGACATTTGTTTCCAAGAAGAGATCGTTCATGTGATGAAAAAAGTGCTCGTCGGTGGAGATGTAAGTTTATTCATTGAGTTCATTTATTAGCAACTTGCAAGTTTTAGTCGATGAATCAAATTTTCTTTTAGTTACCCCACATGCTCTTCTTTGGACCTCCCGGAACTGGAAAAACTTCATCGGCTGTCGCGTTGGCAAGAGAGCTTTTTGGGAAGCACTATAAGTAGGTTTTATACAATAGTTTTGATTTATGAGCAAGAAAATATAGCTGCAATAGCTTGAGTGCAGCTAGAATAACAACTAGAATTTCTAATCAAGATCTGAAAGCAACTTTGATTCTTTTAGAGACAGAGTGCTCGAGCTGAACGCTTCGGATGAACGTGGTATTCAAGTGGGTTTTGAAATTTGAATTTATGCATCTTTGACAACTAATAAAATTTTTTTTAAAGTATAATTAATATTTATTCTCTTTTTAGGTAGTACGCACTCGAATCAAGGACTTCGCCAGGCGTGCTTTGCCTCAAAATCAGCTTGTTAATGAAGGACAGTCAAAATGTTCTGATTTAAAGGTGTGTTGCTTTTTGCACTGTATAAAAAGTTATCTTTTAGATTGTAATTCTTGACGAGGCTGACGCCATGACAAGCGCCGCTCAATCGGCAATGAGGCGAATCATGGAAAAGCACAGCAGAACGACTAGGTTTGTTTGGTTTATACATTCTAAGTTTCAACAATGAAAAAGGTAACGAAAAGCTTTTTAAAGTTTGATGATAATTTATGTTGTTAAGTCTGTTTTTAGATTCTTCCTGATTTGCAATTACGTCTCGAGGATCATCACTCCAATCATTTCGCGATGTGCCAAATTCCGCTTCAAGCCTTTGCCGGTTGAGAGTCAATTTAACAGGTAAAAAGTTAACTTTTGTCATTTTTACGGCAAAGCTTTAGACTGAACTCAATTTGTCAACAAGAGGGAATCAGCTTCGATAAGGAGGCACTTGTGAAATTGATCGAAGTTTGCGAGGGAGATTTGCGCAAATCGATCACCAGTTTACAGGTTTGTTTTAAAACATGCTTATTCGGAGCATTGAATATCAACGATAAGCATAATAAAACGAAAATAGCTTAGACTTTGCGACAATTGACCCAATATTTTGTTTTAGGCTGTTGCTCGTGGATGCCATCACATCAACAACGATGTTGTGCAAAGTATGACTGGGAAAATCCCCGAGGAACAAGTAATTTATAGTTTATAACTGTTACATATATTCGCAGGTCGAATATCTTTTGACGGCTTGTCGACAACCGCACTTTGGCGATATGCTGCAAGCAGTTGAACATGTGAGTTTTGAAATTTAAAATTTTGCATTAAAACAAAAGTTTAGATGCGTCGCCAAGCCTACACGAACACACAACTCTTGGCGCAATTGATGGATGCGGTGTTGGCTGATGAGGTGCTAAACGATGTGCAAAAAGCGGAGATTCTCGAAAAGATGGCTGTAAGTTTATCTTGAAAACTGAAATTCATCGCTCTTGGATAAGAAGTTTAAAAAAAGTTCGAAGGGACCAGCGGAATTTATACATCAAAATCATATCATATCCTCAAGTTTCTTGATTTAGATTGCTGAGGGACGAGTTGCGGATCGAGCCGACGGATGTCTCAATATTCAGGATATCACGGCGACAATTCAACGTCACTACACTTCACTTATGGTTTAAAGCTAATATTCATTTTGTATGCGATTCTCGTAATTTGATCTCATTTCGCTGATATTCTTTTTCACAGGTGATTGTAAGATTTTGTCGGGTTTTTGTGTAAAATAAAGTTTCACTTGGTCTACTTTTCTTTCTACTTTGTTTGCACTGCGGATATTCAGATTTACTTAGCATTATGAGTGGTTTTGTGCCCAATAAGGGCTACCCTATCCCCTCTTGGGCATCTAATTTGGGGGTTGTGGGTGTTCGCGGGTGGAGGGTGTGTGCTGTGTTTGCGCAATCGGGAGCACCCCATTCCCCTTTCGTCTTTCGCGCACCACCATCTGTGTGATCATCGGCGCAAAGCAATTATGGTGAACCCCCTCCTCAACCAGTCCGTGAACAGATTCGCCGTGACACAACAATCACTTGTGCGGAAAATTTGATGAGAACAAGATTTGACAAGATAGCCAAATAAGTATTAAAGTATTAGAAATTGATCCTTGGAAAATATGAGCGGTCAATTTTTGGTCTTTTTATGAAATTGACATCGTTCCGGGACAATTCATAGCCATTCATCTTTTCTAAACTTCTATATTGTACTAAAAAGTTTGAGTCTGATTCGAATTGAATCGTCGCAATCATCAATCCATCTCTGTTGGGCTCACGAATTGACAGCCAGGAGTTTTTCAAGTTCAGTCAACAACTCTACTTCATGGCCCTAAATGCTTTCTTGTATTTCTCATCCTTATTGGGGAAAGAAGAAGAAGGCAAGTAGGTGGAAGTGGAAATGGTCACTTGATGGAGAAGAAGTGTGCACATTCATTCAATGGGGAGATGAGAAGAGACTAGGGATTTGTGTGTTGTGAGGGGATTCCCCCCCTTCAATCCCCAACAACTAATCAGAAGCGCCATCTGCGTCCCTCCCTGTGTCCCATCTCCTTACCCCTCCCCTTGCCTGGAAGCAATTGTGTTCACCCTTTTCTCCTCCTCTTTCAGCCCCACCCCTCCCGTGCTTTAGGGATCACCGGGGAGCTCACATTTCTCTCCCGTAATTGATTCAATCCCTCCCCATCCCTAGCACTCTTGGTGTTCGCGCACAGTGAAACTCAAGAGTTCACTTGATTTCAGCTTCTTAATTCTATTTTGAATGAAACTTTTCTCCAGTATTTTGTTAGCCCGGAAGATCCGACTATAAACATTCCATAGGCCGTGTTTTCTTACGAGTGCTGTTTTTCGAGACGGCTTCAAGGGGATGTGGGATTCCCGCACATCTTGGTCCATTCTTGTCCCATTTTTCCTTTTTTTGTCCCTTTCTTCCACTTTTTCTCTTTTTTCCTTTTCTCATCAATTGTTTCCGAATGCAAACACGATTTCCTCCATGTAGACAATCCACTTTTTTTTTCTGCTTTTCTTTCCTCTTTCTCGAATTTCCTATTTGCTTGGGAGTTTTCTGATGAAATAGTATTTTGATTTAATATTCCAAAAATTTAATTTCAAATTTCAAATTTCAATCTTTTCTCCAGTGATCATAAATTTTCGCAAAACTCTGCATCGTTTTTATCAAAAACTTTTCTATCGGACCAATTTACCCCGTTTTATTGCCAACCGGTAATCGTTTTAGTGCTAAAGAGAAATGAATGAGAGTTTCCATTTTTTCGACTTGTCGTCGAGTACTTGACAATCTCGTACAGCTAAATAATAAACCAAAAAAGTTTTGTGTTTTGGTTTATTCTCAATCTAAAGACAATTTTGTTTAAACTTTAGAAAAATTTAAAACACTTTTCCGCTTGTTACTCGGCCACGCTCATAAGGGGAAACCGAGAAAGCGTGTTTTTACAAAAAATCGCCCATCTAACCCACAAAACGAATTTGATTTTTGGAAAGCATATAGAATTTTGAATATAAATATAATAGTCAAATTTTCAGAGATTGGTTCAGCTGTTTTTTCTAAAACAGAAGAACAGACAGGCACAGACAGACAGACAGACACAGACAGACACATGCAGACAGACAGACAGACGGACAGACAAACATATAAACATACATATTCTCTCGTTTATAATAATAATAAGTAAGATAGTTTGTCTATGATATTAAATAATATTTATAGAATCAGACTTTAGGAAACAACAGCTATTCTACAGAATAACACTAATGAAACTTGTTCCGCGTAAAATTGAATAAACCAAAATGAAAGGCTTTAGGAGAAATTGTTGAAAAGGGTTGTCTGTTGCCATCTTTTCTTTTGATCTCTTTCATTTTTCCGAAAGAATTCTGCTTTTGTTTATGAGAAATGCTCAAAGTGAAGGAGAATCATACAAATTTCTTGGGAAAAGAAATTACTTTTCACTTTTTCTTCTATACATTCTTACAGAAAACTTCAATTTTTGAGCCTTTTAGGACTTTTGGAGAACTTTTGGACTTAAAATAGAGAACTGGGCTTAAAATAGAGAAATGGACTTAAAATAGAGAAATGGACTCAAAATTGTAAACACAGCCTTTCTAACGCACGAAATTCTTCATTTCTCTCGAAACCAAAGCGTGACTATAAGAAAATGACGAATTTATTGCAAGAGAAAGGGTGCGTTTAAAGTTTTTATGGAAAAGATGTTACTAAAGTTTACTTTAATAAAAAAGATATTATTAAACTTTACTTTACTAAAGAATACTTTACTTTACGTTTAATTGAATAGCTTTTGTTTAACTGAATAGCTTTTGTTTAACTGAATAGCTTCCCTTTAACTGAATAGCTTTTGTTTAATTTGAATAGCTTTCGTTTAGCTGAATAGCTTTTGTTTAACTGAATAGCTAGACTTTTCAAATGTTCCCTAAGTTCCCCAGGTTCCCTAGGTTCCCCAGGTTCCCTAGGTTCCCCAGGCTCCCTAGGTTTCCCAGGCTCCCTAGGTTGCCCAGGTTCCCTAGGTTCCCCAGGTTCCCTAGATTCCCTAGATTCCCCAGGCTCCCTAGGTTTCCCAGGCTCCCTAGATTCCCCAGGCTCCCTAGGTTTCCCAGGCTCCCTAGGTTCCCCAGGCTCCCTAGGTTTCCCAGGCTCCCTAGGTTGCCCAGGTTCCCTAGGTTCCCCAGGCTCCCTAGGTTTCCTAGGCTCCCTAGGTTGCCCAGGTCTAGGTAAAAAGGTATATCTAATTTATCTAAATATTAAGCGAAAATGAAACCGAAATTTCCCATTTCACTTGTGATTTGACGTGGTTGAACACCTCGTTTCTCAAAATTTCTCTCCAATCCTCACAAATCCTTTTCCACCCCATCATTTCAAGGGTTTTGACTGAAAGCATTGAAAGAGGGGAGGCTCGGGGTGCGTAATTATTTATGAGTGCCCGATTGATCACCCTTTGGCCTTTCAGAGAGGGGACTTTTGAGGGGACTTTTGGCTATGGAAGCATGCTAATGTCTTTCTGCGATCCCCTTTTTACACAAACTTTTCCTTCATTCGTCTGGAATGAAGATTCCAGACGAGTGCTTTGTTAAAGCCATTGTTTTGTTTTTTTTAGGAACTATGAAGCACTAACACTTTGTGAAAACTCGAAACTTTCATTTAACCTGTCTGCAGATCAGATTCTATTCTAGAAATATTCTAGAACTAGAATTCTAGAACTTATGCAGTAAAACCTATTTTGAGGTTTTTCTTTTTTTAAAGTTTAAAATGCTTGAACAATTGTTCGCTTCGGTATTTTGACAACTATTTTATTCTATTAGGTTGACAAGAAAGAGATTTCTTGACTTTAATATAAAAGAAATAGATCCTTTCTAGAATCGAATGGAATAGAGTGACTAGAATAGACTGGAATAGATTAGAATAGACTGGAATAGACTGGCATAGACTGGCATAGACTGGCATAGACTGGAATAGACTGGAATAGACTGGAATAGACTGGCATAGACTAGAATAGACTGGCATAGACTGGCATAGACTAGCATAGACTGGCATAGACTGGCATAGACTGGCATAGACTGGAATAGACTGGAATAGACTGGCATAGACTGGCATAGACTGGCATAGACTGGAATAGACTGGAATAGACTGGAATAGCGCTAGAAGAGCTCATAACTCCTTTCAATCATCCTGCGCTTCTTTTATGAGCTCTATAAATAATATAACAGTTTCTCTGAGCTCTCAAAGTTTCCAAAGTTTCAGTTTCAAAGTTTCAAAATCAAAGTTCCTTGCTTTTTGTTATCTCCAAGTTTGCTCCTTTGCACTTTTTGAAAACCCCTACTTTCACGAGGGTTTGGTTTTGACTATATAGTGGAAAATGACGGCCCTAAAATATCATTCAAAATAATTAAAAGTTCGGATCATTTCATGGGAAAACCTGAAACAGGGAGGCCGCTAACAGGTCATTCGGTGACCTTTTTGCGGTCTTAGAGGCCTTCCTGTGGACCGTTCCCACTACATCCGTGGCCGAGTGGTACAGCGCTCGTTTCCAGAGCGAGACCACGCGGGTTCGATCTCTGCTTTCAACTTTTCTGCTGAGTATTTTCAGCTGAGCATTTTTGCTCTCTTAGAGGCCTTCCTGTGGACCGTTTCCACTACATCCGTGGCCGAGTGGTACAGCGCTCGTTTCCAGAGCGAGACCACGCGGGTTCAATCCCCGCTTTCAACTTTTCTGCTGAGTATTTTCAGCTGCTGGAAAGTATTTTTACAATAATTTTTCCTAATAGATTCGAATTGCTTTTTAGAGTCTTATGAAAAAATTGAACAGATTACAACTAGTAGTAGTAGTAGTAGTAGTAGTAGTACAACTCCAATAAAACTTTCTTCAAGTCTTCTTCAATTTCTCTTCCAGTTTTCTTCAATTTCTCTTCAACTTCTCTTCAAGTTTTCTTCAATTTCAAAGTCCTCCAAGTGCCCACTAATCGAGAATAATTTCCGAAACGAGGCTCGAATGTTTTGAAGTGAAAAGAAAAACAGAAAATGAATGAAAGGAGAAAGGGGAAAGCTGGATAAAACTTCTTTTTTCCTTTTTTCAACGCCAACCTTCCAATTTGTAAGGAAAAGGCGA